AATAGGGATCTCCAGCCACCTCCTACAGGTGCATTCGGTCCGGCAGCAGGTCAGTACCCGCCTGGGGCAGAGCTTCCAGGGAAGGAGCTGACTGCCATCTTTGCTGTTTCATAGCCTTCACTGATGATACCTCCAGGTTTGGGAAAAACCAAGGTAGCTAGGGTCTGGAGTGGACCCTCAGCAAACCACAGCAGCCCTATGATAGACTGGCCTGACTGTTAAAAACAAACAGAAAACAACAACAACATAAACAAAAAAGACCCCATAAAAACCCCATTTGAAGTCAGCAACCTCAAAGATCAAAGGTAGATAAACCCACAAAGATGAGAAAGAACGCAAAAATGGTGAAAACTCAAAAAACCAGAGTGTCTTTTCTCCCCCAAATGATGGCAACATCTCTGGAGCAAGGGCATGGAACTAGGCTGAGGCTGAGATGCCTGACTTGACAAAAGTAGGCTTCAGAAGGTGAGTAATAATGAACTTCACTGAGCTAAAGGAGCATGTTCTAACCCAATGCAAAGAAGCTAAGAATCATGATAATAAAGGAGATGATAGCCAGAATAGTCAGTTTAGAGAGGAACATAATTGACCTGATGGAACTGAAAAACACAACATGAGAACTTCACAATGCAATCACAAGTATCAACAGCAGAATACCTGAAGCAAAGGAAAACAGCTCAGAGCTTGAAGACTATCTTTCTGAAATAAGACAGGTAGACAAAAATTGAGAAAAAATAATGAAAAAGAATGAACAAAATCTCTGAGAAATAGGGGATTATGTAAAGAGACTTAACCTGTGATTGGAGTACTTAAAAGACACGAGGAGAATGGAACCAAGCTGGAAAACATACTTCAGGATATCATCCAGGAGAACTTCCCCCACCTAACAAGACAAGCGAACATTCAAGTTTAGGAAATCCAGGGAACCCCAGTAAGATACTCCACGAGAAGATCAACCCCAAGATGCATAATAATCAGATTCTCCAAGGTTGAAATGAAAGAAAAAATGTTAAGGGCAGCCAGAGAGACAGACCAGGTCAGCATCAAAGGAAAGCCCAGCAGACTAACAGCAGACCTTTCAGTGGAAGCCCTACAAGCCAGAAGAGACTGGGGGCCAATATTCAATATTCTTAAAGGAAAGAATTTCCAAACCAGAATTTCATGTCCAGCCAAAATAAGCTTCATAATTGAAGGAGAAATAAGATCCTTTTCAGACAAGCAAATGCTGAGAGAATTCATCACCACCAGGCCTGCCTTTCAAGAGGTCCTGAAGGAAGCACTAAATATGGAAAGGCAAAACCATTACCAGCCACTACAAAAACACACTGAAGCACAGACCAGTGACACTATGAAGCAACCACATAAACAAGTCTGCAAATAACCAGCTAGCATCATGATGATAGGATCAAATTCATATAACAACAATACTAACCTTAAATATAAATGGGCTAGATGCCCCAATTTAAAGACACAGAATGGCAGGCTGGATAAACAGCCAAGACCCATCGATATTCTGTCTTCAAGAGACCCATGTTCTGTGCAAAGACACACATAGGCTCAAAATAAAGGGATGGAGGAGAATTTACCAAGCAAATGGAAAACAGAGAAAAAAGGCAGGGTTGCAATCCTAGTTTCAGACAAAACACACTTTAAAACCAATGAAGATAAAAAATGACAAGTGCATTACATAATGGTAAAGGGTTTAATTCAACAAGAGGAGCTAACTGTTCTAAATATTTGTAAACCCAATACAGGAGCACCCAGATTAATAAAGCAAGTTCTTGGAGATCTACAAAGAGACCTAGACTTCCGCACAATAATAGTGGGAGACTTTAACACCCTACTGACAATATTAGACAGATCATTGAGACAGAAAATTAACAGAGATATTTAGGACCTGACCTCAGCTCTGGATCAAGCAGACCTGATAGATAGCTACAGAACTCTCTGCTCAAAAACAACAGAATGTATATTCTTCTCATTGCCACACAGCACTTAATATAAAATTGACCACATAATTGGAAGTAAAACACTCCTCAGCAAATGTAAAAGAACTGAAATAATAACAGTCTCTTAGACCACAGCACAATCAAATTAGAACTCAAGATTAACAAATGCACTCAAAACCAGACAACTACATGGAAATTGAACAACCTGCTCCTGAATGACTCTTGGATAAATAATGAAATTAATGCAGAAATCAAGAAGTTCTTTGAAACTAATGAGAACAAAGAGACAGCATACCAGAATCTCTGGGCTGCAGCTAAGGCAGTGTTAAGAGGGAAATTTACAGCACTAAATGTCCACATAAAAACCTAGAAAGATCTCAAGTTAACAACCTATCACCTCAACTGAAAGAACTAGAGAACCAAGAGGAAACCCCAAAGCTAGCAGAAGACAAGAAATAATCAAGATCAGAGCTGAACTGAAGGAGATAGAGACATGAAAAACCCTTCAAAAAAAATTAACAAATCCATGAGCTGGTTTTTGGAAAACATTTATAAATAGACTGCTGGCTAGACTAATAAAGAAAAACGGAGAAGAATCAAACACAATCAGAAATAATAAGGGGGATATCACCACTGACCCCACAGGAATACACACAACCGTCTGTATAAAGAACACTATACTATAAACTACACTATAAACAGAGAATAATAGAAACACCTCTGTGCAAATAAACTAGAAAATCTAGAAGAAATGGATAAGTTCCTGGACACATACACCCTTGCAAGACTGAACCAGGAAGAAGTTGAATCCCCAAAAAGACCACTAATGAGTTATTAAATTGAGGCAGTAATAAATAGCCTACCAACCAAAAAAAGCCCAGGACCAGATGGATTCACAGCTGACTTCTATCAGAGGTACCAAGAATTGCTGATACCATTCTACTGAATCTAGTCCAAAATATTGAAAAGGAGAGACTCCTCCCTAACATACACTGGGGCCTGTCAGGGGGAGGTGGAGGGAGGGAGAGCATCAGGAAGAATAGCTAATGATTGCTGGGCTTAATACCTATGTTATGGAATGATCTGTGCAGCAGTCCACCATGGCACACATTTAGCTGTGTAACAAACCTGCACATCCTGTACATGTACCCCTGATCTTAAATGAAAGTTGAAGAATAAAGAAAAATAAATAATAAAAAAAAAGTGTGACACCTCTGAATTTGTTATTCTTTTTCAGAGTTGTTTGACTATTCTGGGTCACTAACATTGCCATATGAACTTTGGGATCAACTTTACAATTTCTGCAAAGAAACCAGCTCTTATTTTGATAGGGATTGCTTTAAATCTGTAAATTGATTTGAGAATAATTGCCATCTTAACAGTAAGGTTTCCAATTCATCAGCACAGGAGTTCTTTTGATTTAGTTTGGCCATCTTTGTTTTCAATATACACGTCTTACACTTTTTTTGTTAAATTTATTCCTAAGTATTTTATTCTTTTTTGATTTTATACTAAATACAATTGTTTTAAAATATCACTTCCAGGTTGTTTATTACAAATATGTAGAAATACAATTGATATTTGTATATTGATTTTGTATCCTGCAACCTTGCTGAACTCATTTATTAGTTCTAATAAATGTTTTAAAAGGTAGATTCCTGGCTGGGCATGGTGGGTCATGCCTGTAATCCTAGCACTTTGAGAAGCCAAGGTTGGCAGATCACTTGAGGTCAGGAGTTCGAGACCAGTCTGGCCAACATGATGAAATCCTGTCTCTACTAAAAATACAAAAATGGAGGTTTCAGTGAGCCAAGATCGTGCCACTGCACTCCAGCCTGGGCAACAGAGCCAGACTCCATCTCAAAAAATAATAATAATAAAATAAATAATAAAATAGAAGATAGATTCCTTAGGATTTTCTATATGCAGGATCATGTCATCTGCAAATAGAGATGATTTTACTCTTTACTTTTCAATCTGCATGTCTTTAATTTTCTTGCCCAGTTATCCTGGCTAGAACCTCCAGTATAGTGTTGATAGAAATGGAGAGAATGAACATTCTTGTCTTTTTCTTCGTCTTAGAGAGAAAGCATTTGGCATTTCACTGTTAAGCATAATGTTGGCTATGGGTTTTTCCTAGATGCCTTTTAGCAGAGTAGGAAGTTAATTCCTTTCTACTCCTAGTTTGCTGAATGAGTGGGAGCTGTATTATTTTTGAGTTTCTAACTTTAATCTTTAAAGAAAATGAATGTATATTGTGGGTTTGGTAAGAATAAATAAATAGCACTGATATCTTACATTTTCTTGAGTTACGGGATCAGCTTTTGTTCATCACTTAATTTGTGGAATAAAAATGATAATTTCTCTTACAATTGTTCCTGGATGTAAAGTTCTATATTTTAACACCCAAACTTAAACACCATACTGCAATGTAATAATAATAAAGATATTTAAAAATAGGAAAACATAGAATGTTGAACTTGTTTTATAATATTTCTCAACATTTTCCTAATTAGAAAGTATATCCACCAGTTTCTAAATAGAATGTTCATTTTAAACTAATTCATTTGCCCAAATCCCATTTAGAGTTGACTGAAACTGATAATATATTTCATAATCTTAATCATTTTTTTATCTTTTAAATTTCATTTCAGTAGTTTTTGGAGAACAGGTGTTCTTTTGGTTACATGGATAAGTTCTTTAGTGGTAATTTCTGAGATTTTGGTACACCTAAGCAGTGTATACTATACCCAATGTGTAGTCTTCTGTCCTTCATCTCTCTCCCACCCTTCCCCTCAAGTCCTCAAAGTTCATTGTATCATTCTTATGCCTTTGCATCCTCACAGCTTAGCTCCCACTTGTAAGTGAGAACATACGATATTTGGTTTTTCATTTCTGAGTTACTTCACTTAGAATAATGGTCTTCAGCTCCATCCAGGTTGCTGCAAATGCCATTATTTTGTTCCTTTTTATGGCTGATTAGAATTCCGTGGTGTATACGTACCACCTTTTCTTTATCTACTTGTTGGTTGATGGGCATTTAGGCTGGTTTCATGTTTTTGCAATTGCTAATTGTGCTGCTATAAACATGAGTTTGCAAGTGTCTTTTTCATATAATGACTTCTTTTGCTCTGTGGAGATACCCAGTTGTGGGATTACTGGATCAAATGGTAGTTCTCCTTTTAGTTCTTTGAAGAATCTCCATACTGTTTTCTATAGTGGTTGTACTAGTTTATATTCCCACCAGCAGTGTAAACGTGTTCCCTTTTCACCACATCTACATCAATGTTTTAAAAATATTTAAAAATAAAAATTGGCTCTATAAGGAGTAATTGTGAAATAGAGCTGTTGTGAAATAAAGCAGAAGAAATGGTAAAGAATGACTAAAACTGAAAAGAGGCTGTTGGGTTTTGAAATTAAGAGATATTTAGTGACCTTAGTAAAAGCAATTTCAGTGGACTGGTAAGGGATAAAAAATGATTGTAATCAACTGAGGTGAATAAAAAAGTGAAGATGAAGAGTATAAACTATTTTAAAGGGATTTGGAGGGAGTATAAACAGGAATAAAACTTGGGAGAGCATTTTGGCAATATCTGACGAGGGTGAAAATTCACGTACGTTGTGACCTGTTCACTCTGTTTCTAGGTATAACCAACAGCAGTGTTTCCCAAGGTATGGTACAGGGCCCAACTTTATCAGGATCACTTTTAAAAAATGCTTTAGCAGATGCTATTCAAATTGGCAGCAGGGCCGATGGTTGTGCTGAGACTCGTCACTGCCCGGGCCACTGGGCCTGAGTGTTGCCTTCACAGCCATGGACGCCACCGGGCGCTGACAGACCTATGGAGAGTCTGGGTGTGCCTCTTGGGCCTTATCGGGCCACCAAGCTGGAATGCCCTTCAGGCAGGCATGTGTTATTAGTCCTACTTTACCAGTGTGGACACTGAGGCTCACAGACGTTAGAGGCCTTCTAAAGTCACATCTACAGCAAGTGGCAGAGCTAGAATTCAGATCTTCCTGGTATGGCCATCTTAAATGGATTCTGCTACTTATGGAATGAAGTTACCACATCTTTTCGAGCAGGAATGCCTCTAAGAAAACATAGACAACACTTTAAAAAATATGGCAATTGTTTCACAGCAGGAGAAGCAGTGGATTGGCTTTATGACCTATTAAGAAATAATAGCAATTTTGGTCCCAAAGTTACAAGTCAACAGACTATCCAACTGTTGAGGATATTTCTTAAGAATCATGTAATTGAAGATATCAAAGGCAGGTGGGGATCAGAAAATGTTGACGATAATAAGCAGTTCTTCAGATTTCCTGCTACTTCGCCACTTAAAACTCTGCCACGAAGGCATCCAGAATTGAGAAAAAACAACATAGAGAACTTTTCCAAAGATAAAGATAGTATTTTTAAATGATGAAACTTATCTCGTAGAACTCCTAAAAAGCATGGAATACATTTATCTTAGGAAAATGCTGAGAAAATAAAGCATGAAATAATCAATGAAGATCAAGAAAATGCAGTTGATAATAGAGAACTAAGCCAGAAAGATGTTGAAGAAATTTCGAGATATGTTATTCTGATCTACCTGCAAACCATTTTAGGTGTGCCATCCCTAGAAGAAGTCATAAATCCAAAACAAGTAATTCCCCAATATGTAATGTACAACATGGCCAATACAAGTAAACATGGGGTAGTCATACTACAAAACAAATTGGATGACCTTCCTCACTGGGTATTATCTGCCATGAGGCCTGGCGGATTGGCCAAGAACTGATGATATGAATAATTCAACTAATGTTGGATTTGAACAAGATGTATTCAGAACAATCACAGATTATTTTCTAGATCTCCCTGAACCTCTACTTACTTTTGAATATTACAAATTATTTGTGAACATTTTGGTTATTTGTGGCTATGTGATAGTTTCAGATAGATCCAGTGGGATACATAGAATCCAAGATGATCCACAGTCTTAAAAATTCCTTCACTTAAACAATTTGAATTCCTTCAAATCAACTGAGTACCTTCTTCTCAGTCTGCTTCATAGAGAAAAAAGAAGAATCAGATTATTCTGAGAGACTACAGATAAGCAATCCAGGATTTCAAGAAAGATTTGCTAAGAAAATGCAGCTAGTTAATTTAAGAAACAGAAGAGTGAGTGCTAATGACATAATGGGAGGAAGCTGTCATAATTTCATAGGGTTAAGTGGTATGCATGATCTATCCTCTAACAGCAAACCAAGCTGTTGTTCTTTGGAAGGTATTGTAGATGTGTCAGGGAATTCAAATAAGAGGCATCCAGTGTGTTTCATCTATCTTTTCCAAACATAGAAGGACAAAATAATAAACTGTTTTTAGAGTCTAAGCCCAAAGAGGAATTCCTGTTGAATCTTCATTCAGAGGAAAATATTCAAAAGCCATTCTGTGCTGGTTTTAAGAGAACCACTACTTTGACTGCTCAAGACCAAGAGAAGTTGTGTCATGGGAAATGCAAGTCAAAACAGCTTTATAGGTCTCAGAGTTTGCTTTTAAGAAGTAGTACAAGAAGGAATAGTTATATCAATACACCAGTGGCTGAAATTATCATGAAACCAAATGTTGGACAAGGCAGCACAAGTGTGCAAACAGCTATGGAAAGTGAACTTGGAGAGTCTAGTGCCACAATCAATAAAAGACTCTGCAAAAGTTCAATAGAATTTTCAGAAAATTCTTTACTTCCAGCTTCTTCTGTGTTGACTGGCACACAGAGTTTCCTGCAACGTCATTTAGAGAGGGTTGCCATCGATGCTGTACAGTTATGTTGTTTGTTACTTCCCCCAGCAAATTATAGAAAACTTCAACTTTTAATGCGTATGATTTCCCAAATGAGTCAAAATGTTGATATGCCTAAACTTCATGATGCATTGGGCACGAGATCACTGAGGATACATACCTTTTCTTGGTGTGTGCTATGCTGTGCTAAAGAAGTGGATCTTGATGAGCTTCTTGCTGGAAGATTAGTTTCTTTCTTAACGGATCATCATCAGGAAATTCTTCAAGTACCCTCTTACTTACAGACTGCAGCGGAAAAACATCTTGACTACTTAAAAAAGGGACATATTGAAAATCCTGGAGATGGACTGTTTGTTCGTTTGCCAACTTATTCATACTGTAAGCAGATTAGTGCTCAGGACTTTGATGAGCAAAGTTTCTACCTCTCAAGCTGCAATTGCAGAACTTTTAGAAAATATTATTAAAAACAAGAATTTACCTCTAAAGGAGAAAAGAAAAAAGCTAAAACAGTTTCAGAATGAATATCCCTGATACATCAGAAAAGATTTCCAACCACGGAGAGTGAAGCAGCACTTTTTGGTGACAAACCTATGATCAAGCAACCAATGCTGATTTTAAGAAAACCAAAGTTCCGTAGTCTAAGATACTAACTGAATTAAAAATCATGTAATAGTTGTGGAACTTTTATAAATGAAGCCATATCTGAGAATGTAGCTATCAAAAGGAAGTCTGTTATTAATAAGGTATTTCTAAATAAACACATTATGTAAGGAAGTACCAAAATAGTTGTTTATCAATGTGAGACTCCTAGGAAACTACCTAGATCTCAACTGAGAGCACATAACAATAGGTGATACCAAATACTTTTTGTTTTTAACGCAGCTATGCAGTAAGGCTATCATGATGTGTACTAAAATTTTATTTACTTGAATTTTGAAACCTGAGCTGTGCATCAAGATTAAACTGTAATTCTGTTTTTAAAAGAAAATTTATCTGCATATGTACAAGTTCTGAGATATTGGCTAATGAATTAGTTATTTGGGGTTACTTCTTTGTTTCTAAGTATAAGAATGTGAAGAATATTTGAAAACTCAATGAAATAATTCTCAGCTGCCAAATGTTGCACTCTTTTGTATATTCTTTTTCCACTTTTGATCTACTTATATATATGTGTGTGTTTTTAAAATATGTGTATATTTTATCAGATTTGGTTTTGCCTTAAATATTATCCCCAATTGCTTCAGTCATTCATTTGTTCAATATATATATTTTGAATTCTAATTTGCATAGTCTATTACAAGATGGGGATATAAAAGAAGTATAAGGCAATCATATATTCATTCAAATACTTAAAGTATAATAAAAAATAAAAATAAAAATTAAAATTAAAAAAATTTTTAAAAAATATACTTATTTAGCAACTGCTATGTGCCTTCATTGTTCCAGATATGTGGAGACAATGATAAATAAAACATATAATCTCTTCTATAAGGTATTTATTTTTAATCAAGGGAGATACACTTATCAGATGCTTAAAATAACAACACTACCCACTGAAATCAGGGCATATATAATCATTCAGCTCACGACTGACTTCTATGATGATGGAACAGGTCTCTAAGCTAGTGGTTTTCAAATTAGTGCACATTAGACTCACCCGAGGAGTTTTAAAACAGCCTATATGCCTAGGGCCTAACTTATACTAATTAAATCTGAATTTTAGGGATGTTGTATAGGGATTAGTATTTTTTTTAATCTAGGTGATTCCAGTATTCAGCCAACTGTGAGAATCAATGTCCTTAATGCTTTTTTTAAACATGTTTATAAGTGTCAAGATAGTGGCACATTGACTTTATTTTTTCATTGGAAGAAAATGCCTGCCAAGTATAAATGCCTCTCATCTTAAAACAAGGTTCTTCAGGTTTCTGCTTGATTGACTTGGTACAAACTTGAAGCAAGTTGCCTTCTATTTTTTACTCCAAGATTGTTTGATATCTATTCCTTAAGTGTAAAGAAATATATAATGCCTGGGTTGTAATAAAATCTTAATGTTTAATGACTATTCTAATTTCTCAATATAATTTCATACTATTTCTCTATAAAATGATAGTGTTCCATTTAACATTACTGATTTTTATTAAAAATCTGGACAGAGAATTATAAATATGACTTTATCCTAGAAACTCTGGCTATAAAATTATTGGACCAAATTGAATTCTTTCTAAGGCGTTAGTATGCTAAAACTTTCTTTGTTTATAGATATGTAAAATGTGGGTCATATTGCAAATTGATATTAAAATTATTTGGGGTTTTGTAACAATTTTAAAAAATGCTTTAGCAAAGTAGCGTTTAATATTTATTTATGAAATTATTAGAAATGAGCTCCTTTAAAAATTTTTAAAAGTCAACTTTTTAGAAGTATAATTGATGCATAATAAACTATATTCATGGATAATAAAGTGCATTCAGTCTAGGAGTACATTTTGATGAGTTTTGACAAATTTGTATACCTGTGTAACCACTACCACAGTCAGTGTATGAAACATTTCTATCACTTCGGAGCATTCCCTTGTACCTTGCTCTGATAAATCCCAGCCACTATCCATAGCCCCAGTATACCATTTATCCACTTTATATCACTACAGATTAGAGTTGTCTTTTCTGTAGTTTCATATAGAGTCATATAGTATGTACTCATTTTGTTTTTGAGATTTACCCATATAATTACATATTCCTAAGTATTAGGTACCACAGTTTGTTTTTCCAGTTATCTGTTGATGGGTTTTGGTGTATTTCCAGCTTTTGATTATTTGAATAAGGTTGTTATAAATAAAGCTGCTATGAATATGTGTCCATATATGTCTATACATAGACATGTATTTTTTTTGTCTTCTTATTTTTTTTGAGACAGAGTCTTGCTCTGTTGCCCAGGCTGGAGTGCAGTGGTGTAGAAATAAGCTTGTCTGTAGGACCTACATAGCCAGCATTGCCATTACTGGAGCCATCAGTGAATTTTAAGATGCCCAGATTTCATATTGTTCAAACACACATGCTCTACGAACAATTTGTGCAGTTGATACAATCACGGGGTTATGAGGCAACATTCATCCTCCTCAGTTTACAAAGAAGATGACGGGATTAAGAGATTAAAGTAAAGACAGGCATAGGAAATCACAAGGATATTCATTGGGGAAGTGATAAGTGTCCATGAAATCTTCACAATTTATGTTCAGAGATTACAGTAAAGATAGGCAAAAGAAATTATAAAAGTATTAATTTGGGGAACTAATAAATGTCCATGAAATCTTCACAATTTATATTCTTCTGCCGCGGCTTCAGCCAGTCCCTCTGTTCAGGGTCCCTGACTTCCCGCAACAGTATTAGGTACCACAGTTTGTTTTTCCAGTTATCTGTTGATGGGTTTTGGTATATTTCCAGCTTTTGATTATTTGAATAAGGTTGTTATAAATAAAGCTGCTATGAATATGTGTACATATATGTCTATACATAGATATGTATTTTCTTTTTCTTCTTTTTTGTATTTTTTTGAGACAGAGTCTTGCTCTGTTGCCCAGGCTGGAGTGCAGTGGTGTAATCTTGGCTCACTGCAACCTCCGCCTCCAGGGTTCAAGTGATTCTCCTGCCTCAGCCTCTCGAGTAGCTGGGAATATAGGTGTGTGCCACCACGCCTGGCTAATTTTTTGTATTTTTAGTAGAGAAGGAGTTTCACCATGTTAGCCAGGATGGTCTCGATCTCCTGACCTCATGATCCGCCTGCCTCAGCCTTCCAAAGTGCTGAAATTACAGGCATGAGCCACTGTGCCTGGCCAGACATGTATTTTCATTTCACTTAATAACTAGGAGTAGAATTGCTAGGTCATCTGAAAAGCATATGTTTATCTTTTTAAGAAACTGCCACACTATTTTTCAAAATGGTTGTATCATTTTACGTTCCCACCAGCAATGTATGAGACTTCTGATTGTCCTAGATCCTTGTTAATTATTTGGTATTATCAGTCATTTTAATTTTAGCGTTTTATAGGTATGAGGTGATATCGCATTGTAGTTTTATTTTGCATTTCTCTGGTGGCTAGAGACTTGAGCGTCTTTTCATGTGTTTACTGGCCATTCATATATCATCTTTTCAATAGTGTCTATTTAAATATTTTGTCTATTAAAAATTGTATTATTATTGAGTTGTAACAGTTCTCTGTATATTCAGGATGTCAATCCTTGGTGAGATATATGTATTGCAAATAATTTTCTCCCAGTTTATGCTGTTCCTTTTTATTTCTTTAGTGTTGTCTTTAGAAGAGCTGAAGTTTTAAATTTTGATGAAGTTTACTTTACTAGATTTTCCTTTCATGGTCCTTCTTTTTGTGTCCTATTTAAGAAATTGTTTTATTCCTCAAGGTTTTGAAGAGTTTTCACCTATTTCTTCTAAAAGTTTTATAATTTTTGCTTTTTTTTCTGTTTTTTTTTTTTTTTTTAATTATACTTTAAATTCTAGGGTACATGTGCACAACATGCAGGTTTTTTACATATGTATACATATGCCATGTTGGTGTGCTGTACCCATTAACTCATTTACATTAGGAATATCTCCTTATACTATCCCTCCCCCCTCCCCCCTCCCACCACCCCACAACAGGCCCTGGTGTGTGGTGTTCCCCACCCTGTGTCCAATTGTTCTCATTGTTCAATTCCCACCTATGAGTGAAAACATGCAGTGTTTGGTTTTCTGTCTTTGCGATTGATGGTTTCCAGCTTCATCCATGTCCCTATAAAGGACATGAACTCATCCTTTTTACTTTTAGAATCTGTGAACCATTTCAAAATAAGTTTTATGAGTCCTATGAGGTAAGGGTCAGGTTTTTTTTTTTTTTTTTTTTTTTTTTCCATGTGAATATGAAGTTGTTACAACACTGTTGAAAAGACAGTTCTTTCCCTCATTGAATGATCTTGCCACCTTTGTTGAAAATCAGTTGGCTTGACCTATGTGGGTCTATTTCTGGAGTATATTCTGTTCTATTGATTTATATGTCTATTTCTAGCCAATACCAAACTGTTTTAATTACCATAACTTTATAGTAAGTCTTAAAATCAAGTAGTACAGTTTCTCCGACTTTATTCTTTTTTCAGTATTTCTTAGGATAGTCTACATCTTTTATATTTCTAAATAAGTTTTCTGATTAAGTTGTCACTTTCTATGGAAAAAACGCCTTCTGGAATTGTTTTTGAGATTGTGTCTATAGAGAAGAAATCAGGTCTTAAAAAGATTTAGTCTGTTGATACATGTTTCTCCATGTATTTAGGCCTTCTTTAAATTTTTGGAGTACTATTTAGTGGTTTTCATTGTTTTATATGTATCTTGTTAAATTTAAATTTATCCTGAAGTAGTTCATATTTTTGGATGCCTTTAGAAATAGTAGTTTTTCAAATTTCAATTTGGAATTTTACGTTGCTTGTATTTAAATATATAGTTAATTCTTACACATTGTTCTTGTATCCTGTGACCTTGCTAAATTTGCCTGTTGGTTCTGGTAGCTTCTGTGTAGATTCCTTAGCCTTGTCTATATACATGGTCTTGTCTATGATAAAGATAGTTTTACTTTTTCCTTTTCAATTTGGTTTTTTTTTTTTTCCTTGCCTTATTATATTGGCTAGAATGTCCTGTACAATGTGAAAGAAAAATGGTGAGAGTAAACATCTTTGTTTTTTTGTGACCTTAGTGGAAAAACATTCAGCCTTTTACCTTAAATATGATGTTAGCTATTAAGCATCTTATAGATGTCCTTTATGAGGTTGAGGAAGTTCTCTTTTATTTCTAGTTTGCTGAAAGTTTATCATGAATGGGTGTGGGATTTTGTCAAATGCTTTGTTCTGTATCAGTTAAAATAATCATAGGGGTTTTCTCCTATATTCTCTTAGTATAGTGGATTACATTGATTGATTATTAAAATGTTACGTAAATCTTTCATTTCTGTGATAAACCCCATTTAGTCATGATGCGTTTATCAGTCATGGATATTACTGAATCCATTTTTAAAAATATTTTCAAGGATTTTTTTTCCTGTGTGTTAATGGATATTGGTTTGTAGTTTTCTCTGTAATTTTTTTCTCTTTTTTGTACTAACATAAAACTGGACTTTTTAAATAAATGGAAAAGAATTTCTGTATTCTCTGAGTTTATGTAGGTTTGATATTATTTATTGGTAAATGTTTGATAGATTCACTAATGAAGTCATTTGGGCCTAGAATTTTCTTTAAAGGAAGGTTTTTGATAACAGTTTCTTACATAGATATAGGGCTATGCAGATTTACTTGTGTCTGTTTTACTAAGTTGTGTTTATTAAGGAATTTGCCATTTCACTTAAGTTTTTTATTGTTGGCATGAAATTGTTCATAATAGTTTTTTGTTATCCCTTTAATGTCTGTGGAATTTGTGGTAATGTCTCTCCTTTCATTCCTGATATTGGTAATCTGTATTTTCTTTTTCTCTCTTTTAAAAGCACTCTGCCTAGAGGTTTGTCAATTTCATGGATTTGTTTCAAAGACCCAGCTTTTGGTTTTATTGGTTTTTCTGTTTTAGATTTCATTAATTTCAGGTCTTTATTATATCCTTCCTTCTGTTTACTTTGGGGTTTACTTGGTTCTTCCTTCAGTATAAAGAAAAGATTGATAAATTTGACTCCATAAATTGTTTTTTAAAGTTACACGGCAAAAGCCACTGTGGACAAAGTCAAAATATAGCTATCAAATAACAGTGATAAAATACTTACAACATATATCAGAGGGCTGGTATGCCTGATATATAACAACCTCCTAAAAATTAAGGGATAAAGGACCAAAACCTGATGGAGAAGTTAAAAGAAAGTTATCAACAGACAGTTCACACAGAAAAGATCGGGAAATGTTCCTCAAACATATTAAAAAATGTGGAACTCATACTTGAGAAACATTAATTAAAATAACACTTGAGATACCATTTATCATTCATCAAACTGGCACAAAATTTTAAATTTTTATTTTATTTTACTTTTGAGATAGGGTCTT